CCCTATTACTAAAAGAAGAGTATCGTGGTAAAAGTATTCAGCAGGATCGGGCTAGCTTGAAACCCCTGAATACACAGACAAGCACAAGTACACAATAGCAACTTACTATGTGCACTGTACACTATACAACATGCGATTATTATGGATATGCATGGCATATACTTCAGCCATACACTCCACAGCCTGATAACGCATCTATACCAGTATATATATATATATACAAAAGTATAACTATAGCTATGTATATTTTAGATATGCATGGTATATACCCCAGCCATACACTCCACAGCCTGGGAACACATCAATACCAATTGATAGTGGAGCGCTGATCTCCTAGTCTCCACCAATCTGCAACGTAACACAAAACCCCAGTACTCCTTCGACTAGCCAGGCATGGCACTTAAAACTGTCACGCTCACTGAAACGCCACTATGGCGTTTGCGATGTACATATACACATCTGTAGAGCAACAGAACAATCTGTGTGTGACTGAGTGTACCATACAGGCATACCTCCGTGGCGATATTGGACTGCGTCTTCTCCGACAAGCGCTGGAAGTCTCCATGCATGACACTGATCCGGTCGTCTATCTGGCTTATCACTTCACGGTTACGGCCCTTCTCTAGGTTGAAGTCCAGTCTGGCGCATGGGCAGAAGGCGAAACAAGTGCTCGAGTAAGTATAGGGAGTTGCTTGGTCGGGTGTGGAAGTGCTTGGTTTGAATAGAGGGATCTCTGGGGGTACTGTCGCTGGGCAGTAGATGTTGATGTGCAGAGGTATGCCGTGGCAATGCCATAAGTTGTGAAGTTCGCAAACAGCGACTTTAGAACTAGGGTGAGTGAGTATGTAAGATGATTCTGGCAGATTCACATAGACACCCATACGTGAATTTTGCACATCCATACCAATATACCATCGTAGTTATATATGGATTGTATGGACCACCAATATACTATCATAATTAAATATGGATTGCATGGAGCACCAATATACTATCATAGTAAAGTATGGCATGTAGATTAGTACAACAACAAAAGCATCATTCTTCTGGGTGTGCACTTGCAATCACTGAACTTAAGACTTACCTGATGTGTCCTTTGAGTATTTCAATCTCGTCCTTAAACTCGGAGCGCAGTTCCTTGATATTGCTCTACCAATGAACCAGGGGGTAGACACGGGCGTTAGACGGAGAGGTTTGATTCGTGGCGGCTAAATCAGATGCATGCGTTTGGTCTCACAGACAACGTATTGAAAGCCCATTGATCTATCAATCCCTGATACTCGCTGTAGAGAAACCCAGTATGAGTGCAGCACCACAATATACACAGATCTTTGACCAACGCAACAATTATGTAACTTTGACTCGACACTGCGAGTACAGATATAGCGCGTACGTCATCCCTGGAAACAAGTTCATTAGCAGCCAACACACACACACCTGGTTCTTGTCTACGTCGAAGGAAAGGAGCGTAATTCGAGTCTTGTCGAGAGCGTCGATTTTGTGTTTTAGCTGAAAAGATCAACAATAAAACTGAAATGAAACAATGAACGAAAAGCTCGAGTCCGTTGTCATTTGAGATGACACGCCGTCCTATCCACCTTCGCTGATATCCCACCATGCTAATTGTCGATAAACTTTTACACTTTCTAAACGGATTGTATCGATGTACCCATGTCCAATACACAGACTCACACAGGCACGCTCAAGCGCGACAGAGAAGAGGGTATGTATAAACACACGCACACCAATCGTCTTCAATCAAATTCGGAAATCATACATGAAATGTGTATTTCTTAGGAGTATATGTATATGTGTCAACAATTAGACACACCACAAATTAAACGAGAGTGCACAAACGTTCGGTCACAGGTGGATTCCTCATGTTTCACATAAAAGAATACAACCACAGAAGTGCTTACCGTCTCGTTCATAATCGCTTGCCGATGCTTGAAGTCCTCCAGGTCTCTATTCATCGCCACATGAGCTCCCCAACTGTGGTGACTGTCATTCATACGAGTAATGTTCCAATAAGAAATTGGTCATCAGACATGGACGTATACAAAAATACTACCAGTATATATAAAAATTGAATGTACAAATATGTCTAAACACACACAGAGATACATACATACACACAAACATACACACACACACACACACACACACACAACAACACACACACACAAC